CTTTTTTTCACCTATAACAAGATTGTAGAGTCCCAGCCAGTGCCTGCAGGACAAATGACGAACAGCCATTTGAAAGGAGGCGGGATCGACACCAGATACAACATGTGGAAGCATCATGTACATCTTGGAGGAACAATCCAAAAAGCATGATTTTCAACTTGATGTTGCCGTCCAGAAATATTTATTTGAATCTCAAGTTGTTTTGCTTTCTTTACCACCTTTGTGCCTTTGCTGTATTTGAACAACTAACGAATAACTCTCCCATTCATTCATCCTGCATTCATACCTTGTACTTGATCTGAAACAATCACGGCATACTCATTATTTCCCATTCTTCACGGATTACAAAGGGATGTTCGAAGGGTTACAGCTTTGTCATACAGGATTGCAGAATGAAAAGCACTTGTAGCTATTAGTAATAAATACATGTTGTTTACAAGGAATACATGTGTGTATGTTGGCCAGAAGACGCAGATGCAGAAAAACACTTTCAATTCATTCTTACCCAGAACATCCATGGCACTCGCACAACATATGAATCCACACTAATGCTCTCACCTTCACCTTGTGTTAAAGCTTTTTTATTAATGGGGGCAGAACAGAGAAGGTAGAGATGATAGGCAGCAGCCACATTGTTTGGGATTACTGGGAAAGCATTGTGAGCGTATAATAACAGGGTTTATAATGAAAGCATATTGCAGACCCCGTTGCTGATTGTCCAGCTTCATTGTTTCGAAACAAAACAAGCAGATGAAATATAGATCCACTTTGAGAGGAAAATCCTCAACACTTTTATTAATGTTAATATTACATTTGGTCGGCGATATAATGCCTGCAAAACCCCTTTCACACATTAATACGGCCGACTTGCTCTGGCAAAATAGAATCCAGATTATCATGAAAAGAAATAACCTTTTTTTGCTCCTTTGCTTTCAGCAGTAACACTTCAGAAAATACAATATAGCAGCACACAACTTTTTCTATGTCAAGATATACATTAGTGGGGAAATTGCTTCCTGAGCAGAGAATAATGGTGCTTAATGGGCATACATTAAAAAAATGTTGGCTACATGTTAGCTAGATGCAGGGGCATGAAGTGTGGAGATGTGATTAGCTGCTTAGATGTTTACCCTTGATTTGGGAATGTGATGTTACGTTCGTGAACGATCCGATTCTTTTGAACGGCTCTTTGGTACGACCGAAGGGAACCGAGTCGTACTTGATGAGAGCCGTTCTTTTTATCGTTGGTTCACTGCCTATACTCCAGGCTCACCAAGCTCATGGCGGAAAGGCTTTGCATTGTGGCAACGTCAGTTCCGTCAGAGACAATATTCTCCAAGACTGGACAAATCTTCTCAGAGAGGAGAAATCGCATTAAGCCCTCAAAAATGAGGAATCTTGCTTTCCTGAATGCAAATGTGCCAGTTAGTAACCTCGCCCCCTTAAAAGAAAACGGCTCTTTTGAACGGCTCTCGGAAAGGAACGGAGCCATAAGATCCGGCTCCCTAGCAACACCTATAAAAACTATTTTTAAAAAGGGGCTACTGTATCGACCTATATAAGCTATATAAATATCGTTTTTTTTTCAAAATACCAAATAGATCCTGCATTTTAGCCATGCCTCATTTCGCTCTATTTCCTCTTTCCAGCGCTGTTTTTGCAGGGGGCTGATTCTGTGAGCTGCAGCTGACCACGCCGCCCTGCAGGAGAGGGGAGTGTGCTTTAGATCAGCTGCTGGGCTGTCAGAAGAGGGGGAGAAAAAGAGATCTCCGTCCTCCGTGTTTTATTCTTATAGAAGTAAGAAGAGAAGTAATGGGGCAGAAACCCTCCTTTTTACGCAGCGGTCCAGACATAGACATCAAACGGCGACACATATTCAGTTGCCAGTTACTTTGGCATTAGGGCAGGGATATCTAGATACTTTCCAAGGTTTGACAAAATGAATTGTGCTACTTTTAAAGCAAGCAACAATGTTTTCAAATCTGTAATCAAAAAGCTCCTCAAAAACACTACCGAAGCAGTTCCTGCCGTTGCTACGTTAGTTCAAACAGTAACAACGGACTATTTTTCTTAGCGGATGCATGTCAATTTAAATCAATACATAAAACTATTTTTTAAATCAATAAAATCATTTTCTAAATCCATAAAAGCATTTCAATTAATATTGGGAGTCATGTCGTTACTTTGTTGAGAATATGGCCATGTAATAAGCGGGATAATGTGCACATTGCACAATGTGCCTTCATACCGATCTAAATCCCTCCGCAAAAAAAAACGGCTCGTTCGCGGGCGAGAGCCGGCTCCCGTCGTTCACTTTCGCGACCGACACATCACTATGTAGTACATTCTCTATATACATCGATACAACATTACGTGTTGATAGAAATCAACACGTAATGAAATAAGACCCCACGGTTTGATGATTGATAGGTGTGTGGGCTGTCTTCCATTTTGACACACAGAACAATGGGGGCTATCCACCCTTATCCACCATGTAAGTAGTTCACACAGCCTCTTCCCTCTTCTCTTTGTGAGGAGAGAAGGTTCAGCAGGTTCAGCTTCATTTAAATATGTCGTGTAGTAATAGATTTATTTATTTTTCTTCTCAAGAGAGTACCAGAATGTGTATTTTATGTTAGTATTTCAAAAAATCTCCTGGAGGAGAATCCCCCCCAGACCCCCCTGCAGGGGTTGGGTTTTCAGCATGTCAACTCTTTCACTTGTGGGGAAATTGCAGGGTTGGCTCCAGGTCACTCTTTTTATTTACTACAAGACAAATGTGCCTTTTTATTTCATACAGTTCCATTTGGATTGAGACAGGGAAATAATGTAAACCTCACGCGTGGCGTTTCACTGTCAAGGGGGCGATAGAGCGTGTATGTAATTACATTGCAAATACTGACTTGAGCCCCACCACTGTATGGGTTAGCCCTACCATAGATTACCCAACAAAAACACTCCGGAGCCGATAAGTCAATGAATTGCTTATTGCGACAGGCACACAATAAAACAGTGGAAACAAAGATGTGTTTGACTTTCATTAGTGAATGAAACTGTGTGCCCTTTGCCCCTTTGTAGTCTGTGTCCAATATTGTGTATTTGTATATGTATATCCTATATGCTAAGGTCCCGCTACTGACACGATAGCAGTCATTTCGTGTGCAGATGTGTAATTAAACCCATGATATCAAAATCTCACTCCAGCCAGGTACCCAAAGTTGGCAACCCTGTTTTAGCTTAGCTGAGTAAACGTATTGTTTTTCGCTTTTAATATATTAAATACAGGAAGTGTGACAATGTGTAGTAATTGTACCTTCTTAACAGACTTCCAAAGACACAGAGATAGTTAAAGTACTCATTCCTCCATTGTCTGAGAACCATGAATAAACTGTTTCCCCTAAATAATGAAGTTGGCTATTAGGCTTTTGATCTCTTCAGTGTGAATCCTTGCTCCAAATGAAGTTGGTAGTCCTCTTGACCTTATTAAAATATGAATCTTTTTTGGGAACCATTGAGTTTTCCATTGTACCCTTTTAGTTTAATACATCATCCTCTGCATGTAAAGGTCAAATCTGTCTCAAATGCTAATAGGTTAAGAAACGTTTGACTTTTCACAGGAAAAAAAGGAAATAGGTGATGGTTGAATTCCATAGCAGTTTTGATTTTAGTTTACTGTTCATATAATATGCACTACTGCAAGCATGGGAGTACACATGGATATGGAGAAATAAAAGGCAGCATGAGAGCATTCAAAGTCAACTTGGACTCAACAAAAGTAACCTATGATCTCACAACAACAACAAAACTCAGATGAAATAAAACATTTATTTTTTTTGGTTTGTGAAAAACCTATTTTCCCATCAATATTAATGGTCTCATGCAGAGCCTGGCAGGGAGGCCTGTCACAGAGACTGAGCATGAAGCTGTGCTGAAGTCCGGTCAGCTGTGAGAGCAAGTCGATCAGCAGTGACACTGACAGCAAGAGAGGGCTGGAGAAGATGGAAAAGATGGAGGAGATGGAGCTGCAGACAGGAAGCCAGGATGGATGCAGGGCTCTGGTGCAAGGGCCCGATGATTCGTTATCCCTTTATTGACCCAACTTGTCATGGAAGACACATCATCGGTCTTCCCCCCTCTCTGTTTTGATGATCTTAATTGTTATTGCACCATTCTCATGCATTAGCAATTACAAGAGGGCGAGTCAATGCAATTTGGGTAAATAGACTTTTTTCATCATGCAAAGCAAACATCTTATTAGGAAATATATCTGTATATATTCTTACTGCTTGCTTCACATGTCATGCAGCTTAGTTTCTACATTAGCCAGAGGGGCACCAAGACATCCCTCTCGGCATCTCTGTGCATATTTCTAACATATGTCGAAGCTGTTGAATATCCGTATGTCAAATTGAAGTTTGACAGAGTTGTATTTATTTATTTAATGCTCATGTAGTCACCAATGTTCATCAGCCTTGTGCAAACTTTGATATTATTGCATGTGCCAGAAAAGCACTGTATTGATCCCTTCAGGTCATGATTTTTCGTATCTTGTTTTGTGTGTTGAGGTCGAAACGTTGGTATTTCAGGGTAACCAACCAAGTCAGTGAATTGATCAGGGAGCTCATGAAGCTTAGGACTAAGAGACGGAAATATCTTGGTGGAGCAATGAGGAGATGGAAACCAAACACACATTTAAATGTCATATCCATCTTGTTGCCTTTCCTTGACTGACACTACAGAATTAGCGCCCCCTACTGTTTATCTCCACAAACCATCTTCTAAAATGTGCATATCATTAGTGAATAGATGCGGTTTTTCTGAACATTTAATAAAACATGTGCTGTATGTTTTGTTGGAGACCTGGATACTGTCATCACAGAAGTGAAGAGGAGTCACTTCCAGAACAATTACACGATGTCCTCTTACTTACAGCATCCTCCTTTAACCACATTAGTCCATCATTGACAGCCCAGTTAACAGACTGCCTCGTGGGACTCAGTCTGGAGGAGTTGGGAATTAAAGGGGATAGGAGGCGGATACAGAAGCAGCTCTTTACGCACAGAGAGAAGCGCAGTCCGATGGTGAGGCAGCGGTTCATCTCTCTGCGGGAACACACTTAAAACACACACTTACACACGCTTCCTCCACACACACACTTTTACATATCTACGGGACTTATCTTCACTAAGAAATCTCTAAGAACTAAAGACAGAATGGATGCTTCCCAGCTTTTCTTTCCACTGCTCTTCTACGGATTTCTGCCAAAAGTAAGTAGGAGATCCTTCACTTGAGCGATTTTTTTTAAACGTAATTTTAAATATTGTACGGTTTGTGGTGAATAATTCGTTTTTTTAAGCCAGTAATTATTAGTTTGCATGGTTATTAAAGCCACTTTTTACATTGTAAGCACAGGAGAAGTGCGATGAGAACCACTTTTAGATCAATTTGGAAGTCATTGTTCAATATTTTGTAGGTAATGGCTGTGTTTTATGAGTCGTTATGACGACAATTCATGTTATTTTATGATGACTCGTAGTTTTGGCTTCCTCCTAAATCTATTTTGCGGTCATTGCTGCAGGGCAAATGTTTATTCGTACGTTAGAGTCATGTATCATCTGTCCTTAGGAAAACTCCAAACGAAATAAGTGTTACGTTTTTTTTCTCTGCTCACATTGTCAGTAAATAGCCAATCAGATCTGTCTATGAGTTGACGCACTTGTATCTGTCGTCAGAAGTCAATCTCCTTTATGTGAAACTATAATTTCCTGTTCTTGCTATTTAAAAGATGACCATGAAGATGTTTCAATGGCAGTCTGATAAACTGGTGAACCAGAAGCCTTTTCAATTTGAAGTGTTTCTGAAGGTCATCCTGTTGAATTGGATGTAAAACTCTTGGCTTGATTAGTATCTGGTGAATTCAACTGAGCACAGAAAAGTACTGACGTCTTACACATAGGGTATAGAGTCATTTAACTGAACTAAAATCACTATTTCTTCATGTTGTTTTAGGGAAAGTGTGTGCATTGTGCAATGTGGTGAAAACCTAGTCCCATTTCAGTGCAGTAGAGTTTTGCTGCAGGCATTTTTGTGGGCGTATGAGCACTTAGTGGGAACATAGTGGGAATAGAATAAACAATCTTAGAAGTGAAATCATCCGTCTTCCTGCGGCACGAGGGGAGTATCTTTTTGCCCTGCTCTAAGTTGCCTTGGGTTTTTGATCTGTTCATTATGGGCTTTTTATCTCTATTAAGAAGTGCTCTGCTGCTGTTAGTTCCCCTCACTGCACACAACTCCTGACACCATTCCACTTCTGCATTTTGTCTTTGACAGATAGGTCTATCACTGAGAAGGAAAGACAACAGACCATTTTAGTCAAGAAAATCCTTTTGGAGCCTCTTTAATGCTTTTAGGGGTGTTCCCTTTCCTGTAGTGTGTGTTATGTCATTTTCTTTGTATGTAAATTGTCTGCAAAAAAATCTGCGTGTGGAGCAGTGGATAGAGCCTTGGTGTTGGGATCAGGGGGGCACAGGTTCAAATCCCACTGCAGTCAGCATGTCGTTGTGTCCCTGAGACACTTCACCCCACATTGCTCCTGTGGGGATTGTCCACAGTATTGAGTATGTAAGTCGTTTTGGAAAAAAGCGTCTAACAAGTTACATGTCATGTTCTCTCCAACACAGCTCCGGCATTATGAGAAAAATAAGACCTTTTTGAACATTAAAGCATGGAAACATATCACAGCAGAGACAATACATACAAATATGAACCTGAAAATGAGCATCATATGTCCTTTTTAACATTTCAGATTATACTTGGCTGCTGTGTGTATTTTGAGTAGGATTTTAGTCATTTGACACTTTACGCTAAACGCTTGTCAATGCAGCTATTTCCCGGCAGAATACACTGTGAACATCCAAGTGACTGAAGTGTGGAAATGTGCTCCTCACTTCTGTCAACTCTCAGATGTCTGGCCCACCCCGAGGCTTAAAAGAACCAACGCCATACTTCATGTGTTGACATACTTTAGCGACTCGAGCACTGATGCTCCACTACTTTGTGCCTTTCACCTTCCTGCTTTACAATAACACGATGTGAACGTGTACATTTCCGTTTAGTGAGCCCTCACTCAGGGTTACGGTTTTAATTGTTAAAGAGCTGTGCCCCAGCGCCTGCAGAGAAATAGTTCCAGCACAAATCTCTGTCTGTTAGTGCTGCGATTATACAAACGAGATATTGCGTTTCAGATTTGTAGGGGCTGCTATGCATATGTTGAACTCCTGTCAGGACACTTTAGATCAGGGGTGTCAAACTCAAGGCCCGGGGGCCAAATCCGGCCCGCGACTTCATTTTATGCGGCCCCACAAGAGCTTGCAAAGAATATAAAACGTTTATTATATGGTTACAGGCTGATTTACAGAAGCACACAAACTACATGTCCCACAATGCATCTCTCATTTGACTTTTTTCTCAGAATTAGACTTTTATTTCAAGATTTCACTTTTTTTCTTTTTAAATCATTTTGTGACATTCTCACTGAAGAGACTTGCAATTATTTTCCCTCCACTCTTTATGCTAAACGAATTGGCTACGTGTAGCTTCATGCACACACTTCAAAGCGGTATTGATCTCCTCATGTCAAGAAAATTAACACGTCCGTTTCCTAGAACTACACTATTTATTAGAGACACTTGGGAGATGCAGTTTACTCCATATCACATATTTTAATTTCCTGTCAGATTTGTTTGGCAGGAAGAGTCCGATGCACACACTTAGTGGAACAGCATGAAGCAGCGGACGGTAGATGTGGCTCTCAGTGAAGTGTAGGATAAACACATTGCTCTGCATTGTGACACAACATGCAGACACAACGTCCATTTTCCTGTCAGCTCTCCTCACACTTTACTTGATCGTTATCTCAAACAAAGCAAGACCATTTAATATTAAAAACTCAAAGCCTGGCAGCCCTCGTGATGAGCGAACTCTCGTGGCTGGCAGGTATTTATGGGATGTTTTGCTCATGGAGACACTGCGAGTCCCTTAGATCATTAATCATCTGCTTTGTTCGGGGTGTTGATTCATTGCCCATTAAGGTAACGAATCAAAGTGTACATATTACAGCATCTTGAGGCACTTAGTGTTTGTCATCAGTGTTTTGAATTCAAGCATAAATCCCTGGTACAGAATCCAAAGTACTCCACATTCAACCCATACTCTGATGAATATTGTGTTATCATCTCCCTCTTTGTGTGCTCTGGCTCTACGGACATGCTTGTTTATGAACTAATAAACTATGAGGAGAGTTTGATCCCAGCAGCCTTCTACAAGTCCTTGCACAGATTCCCGTATCATGTCTAACCCCCCAATCATGAGAGACTTTATTCAACTTTGTTCCTGCTGTTTTTGCAGCATTAACAGAGTCAATACACGTGTGTTGCTATTGATTTGCATTCTCCAAAAGCCTGAAGAAACAAAAACATCTCTCCAATTTCATATCAAATTAAACTGGGAATCTGGGTTCTTAGCTGGAGATTGGAGAGAAGCCTTGCTCTCGAAACACATGAGTCGTATGATTAGCCCTTTTTTTCACAGCAGACATTTTGACTTTGACCTTTCTAGTGTCCCAGTAAGGCCTGACAGCGTGACAGTGTGACTCACTGTCATGCAGAGTGGTGCAGGGATGACGTAGCTTTGAAGGCTAACGCAGAAGTTAGCATCATAAGGGAATCCTCGACAAAATCCAATGGGATAACCACACACAAGTTAAAAAAACCTTGACTACGAGACGAGGGAACAGGAAATGGTAAGTCCTTTCTGGGTCTTAGGGCTCATTCCGGCACCACTTTATAGCTCCAACTTGAAACAAAAGCGTCATTAACTTTAATATTTAAACCAATGCATCTCCTATTGTCAAAACGGTGTGCCGAATAGTGGAACACATACAGTATAGTGCTACCATGTTAGCAACAATTGCCAAACGTTAGCATTTATTTGTCCTTTTTCTGGCCGTCTGGTGGATGAAAGTGACATATTCAATCTGCTTTTTGCTCTGTAATGTTTGTCAGTGTTTTTGAGCTGGAGACAGCAGTTAGAAAGAAAGCAGTGAGGCAAGTTGTAGTTTTAAAACAATGAACTGAAGGATATGCTGCTTTAACATGGTGTCATAAATACTGCACCCGGTATTTTTTCAGTAGTGAGATAAAGCCAGGGATTACAGAGTCTATCCATTCTGTTAAGCCCTATGGAACATAACATTTACGTTTTCGTTGAACCTTGTTTACTTCTTATTACTTTGCATTTCTGGATTGGACTGAACCTGGTTTAGCTTCCTGAGGGGCCTTTGGACTCAAATCCTCCCTGGAGTGCTCTGTTGTAAAGTTGCCCAATAATTAATTTCATGCTAATCATAAATAAGGTTACCTAGGGGTTTGACCAACATGAGATTTCCTCTTCGGTCCGCTGATCTGCACAGAAAATGTTAGCAGATGTCTCCCGGCTGAAGTTACCTCAGGATACGTTGGATTTTCTGCTGTAATCAGTCGAAGGCTCCTGTGAGCAAAGTGCTTTGGATTGTGATAGTGTCAGGGCGACCTCGTCCATTAGGAGGGAGCGAGTGAGGCGATGACTGAGTCTGTGGAGCAGTGATAAGACGGATGCTGTTTTTTCTTCATATTTTCCATTAAAGTTTAACTCCAGGTGTTGCCCTTGAGGCAGTATTGTTTTAAAAGCCTTTAGCTAATTCAGCTCGGGTGATTGTTGGCCTTGGTATCGCTCATCAAAACAACTTCACACTCATCCCTGCACTACTCTGAGTCCTCATCAATACACCTGTCAAGATTGAAAGTTGATCGATAAATGGTTGTCATGAAGCTCGGCGTCAGAAGGGCAGAAGTACAAACAGAAAGAGAGCCCTTATTTTAGAAGATGGCTACAGCAGTGTTTTAGGAAGTCAGTCACATTTACCTTTTAAATCCTCAAAGCTCTTATGTGTAAGATTTTAAAGTTCCCCTCCAGAGGAACACAAATAAATACTTGTGTGTGATGTGGTTTTACACAAAAAAAACACTTCAATAACTGTCACGACCTTGACCAAAAGTCCTTTTGCTTTCTCCATTCTGACCTGCTCAAATTTGTAGTGCACAATCAAATATCTGACGGTTATAAATATGTAAAAGTTCGACATTTGTAGCCTCTATTCTCGTCTATTATGCCTCGCTGTGAATCGAATGAAAAGGCCTTTAAGTTTGAATTAAAATCTGTTCTGATATAAAACACAGAACAATGGACGCCAGATGCTACATTTACAGATTTTAAAATGACGTCTCTGAGGGAAAGGATGTCTCAATGTATTGAATGTCTGTTCCCTTGACTCCTCTCTCCTCAATTCTCTTGAAAGGAATCAATGGCACACAAACAGGAGAATGGAAAAGGCTTCAAGGTCTCCCCTGTGTGAGTTTGTCCTGGGCTGCAGTCGAATAGTCCATTTAGCTTAGGAACCTTCCTAACGGAGTGAAATGACCCGGAAGTCCCTCAGTGGCAGCCATGATAAGTGCCGTTCGAATTCTCTAGATGAAAGGAAAGGAGGTTTCAAACTTCCTTTATAACCAGGGCTGCACATAACTGGTGCGCAGGTGCGCATGCGCACCTCCGCCAAAAAAAGAGCACCGGGTTATTTGAAACAAAGCGCATTTGCGTACCAACATTGAGAGGGAGAGAGATAAGAGAAAAGAGAAAAGAGAAAATAGAGGAGAGAGGAGAGATGAGGAAGAGAGAGAGAGAAAGATATTTGCGAGTTGCATATGAACCATGATATGAACTCAGGGCCTAGGGCGCCAGATCTGGGGAGGTGCTGCGCTTGCAGTTCTGGCAGGGAAAAAAACATTTTGACCGTTGGGGCTCATCCTAATTTTCGGCCTTGATATAACAATATTCACAATTAAGTAAATGTAAACACCCTTTTCACCCCGGTTCCACCTTTAATTTGCCCTGTACGATGGGCGCTGTAAGTGATGAAAATGGGGGATGTTGGCTTACAGACAAAATGCGAGTGAGCGAGGGAGGGAGGGAGGGTGGTACCAGCGCTGTTGTTATTATAATCTGGTGCCGTGCTAGCTGCTCTAACGGAGATAAGAAGAAGATGTTTCTACAATAATGTGGAGGGAGAGTCCTCCAGTCAGACTGAGAGGCTGATAAGTTAACTACAGCTCAGTGATGCTGGCGCATCATAAACACGTCGGATAGTGAAAGTGCAGTCGGATTCTCTAAAGCACCGCAGTCTCTTCTCCTAAATCCTTTTGAATTCACCTATCCACTATTCCTTAACCCCGTGACGTTTCACTCAGAGGTCAAGGAATAGGAGATATGGTTAGAATTTAGGAGCTGATTTTTAAACTATCCGAATGCAACCCTGCTCTCATTTCCCTCCTACACACCTGCTTGAATCAGCCTCGTTACACCCTCCCTGCTCCCTGAGGTTCTTCCCAGCCAATCAGATCCTCCCCTGCTCCCAGAGGTGATCTCCTGCCAATCAGCTCCCTGCCTGTCTGACCCGATGACCCACACCTGAGCTTCTCCTCCCATCTCACCACCTTCACATCCTCCCCTCCTCACATTAGTTTTTATTTCGGTCTGCTCCTCAGATTGTGCGATTTCAAGAGTTCTTTCCGACTTTAAGATGTCTTCTCATGTCGTCTTAAGAGGTGAATTTCTTATTTTTCCAGTTTCCTGCACTCATTTAAATTATATTGTGAGACTCTTATGACGAATATGCATGTGTAAATACTGTTCATTTCACACATGTTATATATTGGACGAGGATTGGCCTAGTTTAAAATCACGTCATCATGCTCTTATGGGTGTGAAAATAGACCTCTAGTATGAAACTCTGGACATGTGTAAATGTTCTACCCGTCAACCAAATGCCCTTTTGGCTTTTCCACCTGCCTCAGACATATCACTACGCCCTCTCCCTACAATAACCCCACAATCAACCTGACTACCTGCTTCCTATCAGCCTAGTTGTACATACTGTGTATATCGGTATTTGTATGTGTTTCAGATTATTACATTTTAGTTTTCGGTCTACCTGTACCTCCACCTGGCTGGCTGTCTATCTAAACCTGCCTGTGATCATACATCTTAAAAACAATCTTAATGTTTACCTAAACAACCTACATTTGAGACCTTACCCTGTTACAATTGTCTTCATTATTATCATGTCAAACTGATGAAATCAGACAAACCCTGCATCCACATACATCATGGCTTAAATTGGACCATCAGTCAGAACATCCACACTGTAAAGACTTACTTGGAGTGTGACATTTAAAGAAAAAACCCCATTTCAAAATGATATTTGAGAAGAAACTCGTTCTACACATCTCTTGGATGCCTGTGTTACTCACAATTGAGTGTGCGAAGTTGTCCTTGCAGGAATCCCGGTAATGTGTTTGTTTGCTCTTAAATGTTCCTGCACAAACAGCTTCGGCAGGAATGGTAAATAGTGTACTGAATCCTGTTTGGAAATGATAAACAAGGTTGCGCCTGGGTTTATTCTGCCTCATTACATTGAGCTATTACACCACAATGCATGTACTCAGCTGGGCTGTGAGGAACACTGAGGGCAAGGGCGTCTCTGTGTCGTTCATTAATCAGGATTTGTTGTGTTTGTCTCATCTGAGGTGAAACAGGATCCTGTTTACTCGTCAGCTCAACACTGGATTAAACAGGGCCTTTAAAAAATGACATATTATGGTTCATAGTTGTTTTGAGTGCCTCTCTGCTTTAATGTTCAAAAAGCTCTTTATTGTTCTCATACTGTCTGTGCTGCAGCACCTCTTTTCACCCTCTGTCTGAAACCAGAGCCCAGTCTGCACTGATTGGTTAACTGGCTGGCTCTGTTGGGATTGGTCAACCGCTTAGAGATGTCCCGCTCCTTAGCCTATCACGTACAATGTGTTGGAACGACAGCCAATAGAAGCGCAAGTTTTACAAAGTGATGTCGCTATGTTCAGGAAGTAAACAAAGGAGTCCAATGGAAGCGTTTCAGGCAGGAATGTGCGAGAGAATTTTGGGATGTTAGTTTTTGCAAACTATTTACGTGCATTAAAAACCTATATAACACTACAGGAAAGGGAGAACTCCAAAAAGCATAATAGGGCCTCTTTATTGACGATGTGTCATGTTTGGCAGCAGCTGAGTTGTGGAAGCTCGTGAAACAGACATACAAGGCAGGGTTCTTACGGTCATTAAAAACCTGGAAAAGTCATGGAAATTCAAAATGCTAATTCCAGGCCCTGGAAAAGTTATGGAAAACAATATTTCCCCCAAAGTTTAGGAAAAGTCATGGAAATGTAACTAAAGTTGCATCAAATATAATTTATATTTTATCTAATCGCCAAAATAGTAATACTATAATGATAATAAATACTGTATCGTATAGTAATGAAATGTGAAATGGCTTTTAACTGATGAGGTGTTTTGCTGGTGAGAGATTTTAGTAGAAGCTAAGCCTACTATTTGATTTGTTTTAGATAGGCACAACATGTTTCCCTAGGGAGGTGTTCCAGGCACGCCCAGCTGGGAAGAGACCAAGGGGTAGACCTAGGACCAGGTGGAGGGATTATATCTCTTCGCTGGCCTGGGAGCGCCTTGGGATCCCCCAGTCAGAGCTGGTTGATGTCGCCAGGGAAAAGAAAATGTGGGGCTCTCTGCTGGAACTGCTAGCTCCGCGACCCGACCCACGGATAAGCGGGAGAAGATGGATGGACAACATGTTTCATATGCAGACCTTATTTTCCTGTTCCAGGTTCAAATAAACCATTTTCAGTGGTACCGCTGAGAAAGAGGACCAATAAGCAGAACTGGGGTTGAAGTTGTTTGGCTCGTCACTGTGACCTTTACTGCGTTGTGCATTGTGTATCTTCAGAGGCAGGGGAAGCTCTTCTCTTGGACTTCATGAGTACTCTCTCTGCGTCTCCACTGACCTTCTCCCGCTCCCTCGCTGCTCTCTCAGAGTTTCATTGACCCACCAGCGGCTGTCAGCCCGCATTTCTCCGTCTTTGTTGACACAGATGAACAATCGCAGCAGATTACTCAGCAGCTGCCTTCTCCACTGCCTAATCCATTTCCATGATAGTATCTATTTGCCCGGCAAGAGGGATTTCAGACATTTCTGTGTATTATTAGCCCGGGGTTCTTTCTAATGTGAAAACACGGCATCAAAGGCCATCGCTGCAGGAATGTGATGAAGGGAAATGTTACATAAAATATTTACAAGCAGATGCTCGCTGGAATGTAACCGTCTCTCAATGACTAATTGCGGCGGGATGAAAGCACTTTGACACTTAAACTTGCTTTCTGCCTCCTTCCACAGGTGTTTTCGGTGCAGATGTGCGACGTGGTGAACGAGATCGAGCTGGAGAAGGAGCGCTGTGAGGACAGCAGCTTCGGGAACGTCACTTCAGGTCATTCTCAAAAACCTATTCCCCTCTGTTTTTAGAGCATGCAGGAGGCTATTTAGAGGGAAATGGGAAAGGGCATAAGTGAATAAGTAGTGAGGTAGAGTAATAACGGACGGATAAGGCTCTATTATAGCAGGCAGGCCACAGTTTCTGCAGAGACATATTGCTTTTATTTATTATACGAATGCAGGCTCGAACACTCGCCTGCTGTGGAGATTGACTTTCTGATTTGCCACTCAACAGTACACTCAAATGTGTTTTTGAAAACAATTCAGGTAAGGAGAACAAGACGGATCACTGCGTTAATAGCTGTATTTAGTATATAACATACAGTTTGCAACCAATTTAATACAATCCAACAGTGCCTTATCATTGCTGCTACTTCTGATTTTATCACTGCTTTTATTCATTTGTAACTATTTATATTTCTTTACTGCAGTTATACCGTAGTATGATGACCTTAAAGATATTCTGATAAGTCATGTCAGGCTTTATTTGGTATATAGTATTAAGTTGTTTTTTAAAACTATTTTTCTTTTTGTATTACTTTTAATATAGTATATTTTAATATTGTTTTAATATTGTCTGCTTATCTGTATTATTGTGTTGCATTGTTGGAGATGCCTGTGACCTAAGATTTTCAACGACATAATTACTCTGTATGTTAGTTTGACAATAAAGAACCTTGAACCTTGAACCTTAAGGTTGTAGGGGAATTAAGAAGGTCCTATTATTACTGTTAACAAGCATTGTGGGAACCCTAATTCCAAAAATAGAATACCCTTAATCACAATAAGACTAACAACTAACATTGAGCGCCAACCATCATTTTTTACATTAGGGTAGATTTGAGTGCATATAAATCAACATTTTGCCTGATCTGTGATAGGCGTAGTGCCTCACAGCTGTAATATTTCCATATATAATACGTGTAGGCTGTTAGAAGAAAGTAGTGCACTTGCCAAGGACACAACATTTTTTTTTGTATTCCCAGTTTGCACCTTGAATGGAGGTCTAATAATTAAAAACACCGGAGTGTGCAGGGCCGTTAAAACCACGAGGGGAGGAGGTTTCATATAATATAAGGTTAAAGCAAAAATATAACCTTGAAGGAGGTAATAATGGTATTTCTAGACACTATTGTCACTCAAGGTGATGGAAATAGGAAGGATAACTTGTCATGATTGAAGGGAGAGTTACACACTGGGAATAGGTGTGTATATATATATAATGTATACACACTCCGACCTTCCCTCTGAACGAGCATGCTTCAGTAATATCTCCATTTGGTCTCGTTTTAATAATACACGTGGATTGCGTGAGTGGAAGCAGCTCTTTCTTATCTCTGCAATCATTTCTCTGCTCCCTGCTATCTGCTTCCTCCACAGGAAGGTATAGGTCACATCCCTAATAAATGAATTAGCAGTGTGCATTTGTGAGAAACCATACATTAAGTTATGCAACGTATTCAATATAGAGACTGTCCAGCAATTCCTTGAAACAGAACAGGTGGTAAATGAATATGACAGGTTGTGTACTCTGGTGTCACTGCGCTGACTTAGAGATGTCTACACTCTGACAGAAATTGTTTTTTACCTCCGAAATCCATCCGTCTAAGAAATAGGTCATCGCTTGTGTTCTTGTTTTTTCAGATTCTGCACAGTGCTGTGTTTCATATATTAAAACGATTTACAGAAGGTGCACGTTTTGCAGTAAACTAGATTTGAATTCAGAATATTTCAGAGTTTATTTTCCATCTGATATGTTAAGTTGTTTTCCACAGATGTGAGTGACTATATGTCTATAGATTTTATTTAAAGCAGAGCTGTTTGCTCCTGTTCATATGTTGTGGAACATTTAAAGAATACATTTTTATTTAACTACATTTTCTACAACATTCATAACACAAATCAACATGTCTGCAATAAATGTTCTTCCTCTTAACGCTGAACAAGAGCTCCGCAGTGCATGTCATGTGTCATGAATGTACATGATTTGTGTGTGTGTGTGTGTGAGTGTGTGTGTGTGTGGCCTAGCATTACTATACTTGTGGGGACCTAAATCTGTTTACATAGTCACGTGTGGGGACTCGCCTCCCTTATGGGGACAAAATGGAGGTCCCCATGAGGGGAATCATTAATTTTAGGGTGAAGACTTGGTTAGGGTTAGGTTAAGGTTAAGGGTTAGGGTTAGGCATGTGTTGGTTATGGTTAAGGTTAGGATAAGTCTCCAGGAAATGCATGAAAGTCAATGTAATGTCCCCTGAAGTGAGGTGTGTGTGTGTGTGTGTGTGTGTGTGTGTGTGTGTGTGTGTGTGTGTGTGTGTGTGTGTGTGTGTGTGTGTGTGTGTGTGTGTGTGTGTGTGTGTGTGTGTGTGTGTGAGAGTGAGAGTGAGAGTGAGAGAGAGCATGAGTGATGCCATGTTAACGATGTGTCTCCTGCTGCAGGGTGCCAGGGCATGTGGGACATCATCGCCTGCTGGCCCTCAGCCAGCGTCGGGGAAGTGGTTACAATAACCTGCCCGACCTACTTCAGCTACTTCAGCGACGAGCACAAAGGTAGACAAATCCTCCGTTATTTAATGTAAACATAACATGCTTTAAGAATATTTTCTCAGTATTATGTTCGTTATTATTAATTGAAAGTGGATAAAAGTTCACTATTAAAACAATTTCATCATTAGATCTTAGAAAATGTTCTTAAAGCCGACATATTCTGCTCATTTTCAGGTGTATATTATACTTTAGTGCCTGGGACGTGTTTCCATGCTTTACTGTTCATAAAGGTGGGATTTTAGGAAACCCCCAAAAGCATAATAGGGCCTCTTTAATTAAAAATATCTGTAATTTAATAATGCTGTATTGTTGGCTTGATATTGAGTAAGAAAAATGTTTATAACGCAGTGAGAATGGGTCCGCGATCCCAACTTAGCAGCCCGAAAAACGTTTACCCATTTAAACAGTCGTGGTAGATACCTTGTTTGTTTTAAACATCATAAATACACAAACAACAATGAATACTTACAGGTTGTGTACCCGAATCTCCCGCTGGTCCAAACAAAGTAGGAACAGCATCGTTCTTCAGTGCCCTACGCTGTACATATCCGGCATGAATCGCTGAAAGGTTTGTGAAGCTTTGTTTCGTGAAATGCTGGCAGAGGGTGTGGCCTCTGGGTGTTCCCACGTCACAGTACCCAGGAAGTAAACAATGGAAAAAGAGAAATCTCCAACGAGGCGTTCTGGGGCAGCAGACAGGTATTTTCTGTGTTACAGTTTTACTCGGTACAGGGTGTACTTTGAAGGTTTGTGACTCTGCAGACCGTTTACATGCAGAAAAACCTTCATAACACACAAGGGGACGGGTAATAACCAGAAAAGCATGACATGGGACCTTTAAATAAAATGACCTCACTGGGATTGACCCTATGAACGAGGTGCTTCAAGAGAAACGCAGATACAAATGACAGATATTGGGAGTTTTCCTCTAACCCAGGATAACAGCTAATCCAGGTTACTGTAAACAACATGGAGTGTTTACGTGAGCCAGATTGAAAAATGCCAGGGTAAACTCGGTCACAGATTACAGTCGGGGTTTAAGAAAGCACGAAGCTCTCCCTCTAACCTTTACTTTGGAACGAGCCCAGGACAGAGGACGACTCAAGATAAGAAAGAGTTAGAAAAATGCTTTGTTGACTCACCTTTTATCTAGGACTCTTTTTTTCCTACGACATTTCAATCTTGTAAACTCTTCATTTCTATCTTCTCTTGTGCATTTCTGACATTTGCCTGTGTCCTTATTTTTCTCTCAACTCCTACGCTGCCTGAAAATCAATTCCTGAAAGACGCTTTCAATAGACACGCACTTTAGCTCCCTCAGCAAAGCTACACAACAACAGCGTCCATTCTTCACTCTGGTTCCTTTGTGACAGAAAAAGTTGCTGACGTCTCCATTGATCTGTTAGTGTGGTGACTCAGAAATTATTAATCACAACCCCCCTAATGCTGAATGTCTTTCGTCACTTTCAAGACGTATTTGTGCATATTTTTTTGACTTTGTTGGGGATACATAATAATAATAAATCACATTTTTTATTAGAGCGCTTTTGCAGGTGCTCAAAGCACTTCACAATTACACATTACACATATTAGACATGTAAAGGCACGGACACACCAGGCCGATTATCAGCGTCGGTGGGCGTCAGGCCGACAATGAGGCTCAACACACCCTACTCAGACGGTGTGTCCCGCACCGTCGGGTCTTTTCAGCCGGCTGGCGCCTTTTAGGCCAAAAAAAGTCGGCCAAAGGCAGTCGGCAAAATAAATCTGATTGGCTGTTCAGCTTAGCGAATCAGTGCATGAGAAGCGAAACAGAAGTGAGGGACCCAAACAAATGATTAAGAAGGCAAATCTGAGATTTCATTGAACTCCAGCTCTCGACTCAGGTTCGGGAAAGCCCCGTGAGCTTCTCGCTGTAGAGTGAAGATGGAACGCACACGCTATTTGTTGTTTGTTTATATCACGCAGTCTGTTCTTCTTCTCTCGGTTATCACGCAGTCTGTCTTCCGGTTGTTGCCTCTTTTGAATGACGAATACACACTACCGCCGCCTGCTGGTAGGGAGAGTTATTGCCACTCACTCATGCGCAGTTCGTACGTGCTTCTTGGCCGTCGGCTGAAGTCTTTGCGGTGTGTTCCAGTGCGACACATGGCCAAGACGCGAGGCGACGCAACAGTCAGGGTCCGTTCTTTGTTGTCAGATTGGTGTGTCCGGGCCTTAAGAGTCATTGCTGTGGACATTACCCACAGGAGCAAATGTGGGTGAAGTCTCTTGCCCAAAGACACAACGGCCTGACGCAATGGAGCCCGAGGCGGGTTTCGAACTGGAGTTCACCGACGCCCATTGATCTGATGATCAACGCTAACCCACTGTGCCAAAATCGCCTAACCCTAAACCTCACTTGAACATTAAAGCATGTAAACAGGTCACAGTAGTGTAGGAGCAAACACAATAGTGGTGGCTTAAAGCCCACCTGTGCTCCGCGCCGTCCGTTAGATGAGCCTGGTCAGATTGATAAAAGGAGTTCAAAACACCGGCATAAAAGTTATAACAATAATCTGATTTTAATACAGTAAAAAACACAATACGAAATACAGAGTGCCCTGAAACAGAACACTCCGGGCTCCCCGCTCTACTGCCGTGCGATACAGATATCGGGACCAGCCAGTCAGAAACAGGGGGCATTTTGCATGAATAAACAACAGTATATATGGACATATTTGGAGGTGGAGATGTGTCGGCTGTTCCGTCCCATTTTACTCCTAAGCGAATTAGAGTTCTGGGAAAAAGTATCTTTCTTCTGAACAGAGCGTGACAGCATCGGAACTATACAAGGTCAGAATCACTTTTGATCTTATACCTGGGTTAACTCCTTTAATTTCCCAGGGAAGATTTCACACAAACTATTCTTTTAAAACAATCAAACATTGTACACAGAAATATTGGTGCTTCGGATTATTCCCAGCAAGGACCAAAGAAAAAGAACATGTGTGTGTGTTAGTGAGGGAAAGTGTATGTGTGTGTGTGTGCATGCTGATAAGCAGAGGCATATGTGTGTGTGTTGCTGATATCTGGGTTAAGGAGTTTATGTGTGTGTGCTGCATGAAGACAGGAGGAGGTGTGTGTGTGTGTGTCAGGGTCTCTGGGTCATGGAGTGTAAGTAAGAAGGTTTAGATATATAGGATTACTTTAAACAGTCCCAAATAATACATGTTCACTTCAATACAGTTCAAGATAATACCTGTTTACTTTAATACAGTTTAGAACAATATCTGGGTGCTTTAATCCCTCTTTTGATCTCACCTTCAGAGATACATTTATACACAGCATTTGAAACATAACCTACTGTCTGTTCCCCAACATTTATATAAATCCATCAGAAGCTGGGATTTAGAGCACTTTAAACCTTTAGGAACAGTCCATCATAACAACTTTTAATGACAGTGGAGGGAGACCAAAATATGTTAAAAATTGTCCTTGTCGGCTGAGTCATCGTGCTCGTCCTCCTCCGACGCGTAAGCCAGCAAGGGCATTTGGTACGAAGGGGAAGGGGCAGCTTCTCCCTCAAAAAATGGGATATTAAAACAAAGTTCCTCAAAAAATGGGATAGTGAAACAGAGTTCCTCAAAAATGGGATAGTGAAACAGAGTTCTTCAAAAAATGGGATATTAGAACAAAGTCCACACCGGCTATATCCACCTGTTTCAGCGGAGAGTGGAGTCCCCTGTGCCGTCTTGGCTTGCCGTGTCTTTGTCCCCCCCGATCCGCTGACGGCGGCTTCTGGGCTGCCTGCTAGAGCGATGTCTTCCCGATGCTCCTTCTCCGGCCCGCTGATGATGTCCTCCCGATGCTTCGGCCCGCTGACGACGCCTCGAGGTCCTTCTCCTCCAGTCTGCTGATGACAGCTTCCGAGTCGACCTCCTTGACGAGAGCCAGATCCGTCCTGATGTCGTCCCCTGGTCCTAGCAGGTGGTTTCCACGCCGCACACTGGCTCCAGCTGTCCCCCTTTCCTCCTAGACGGACGGCAGAGATCCGCTGGGTCACTCGGTCGGGGCCGGAGAGCCTGGGGTTGAGCCACTTTGTCCTGATGACCTTCAGCCAGATGAACTCCGCTGTGTCGGCCTCCTGGGTCCCTCTTTTGGTGCCAGCAACCTGTGTGGAGAAATCTGATACAAATCCCTCAAGCCTACGCTCAGGGCTCCGGGGCCCTCAGCTGTTTGACCCACCACTGCGTAGGCCGCTTGGAGCCTGTTGGTGGGGTGTCTTAAAACAACAGACGTCTGGGAACAGGTTTTCTAAATTAATTGTAGACCTCCTATCTGCCAGTGCAGCTTCAGAATCTTAATACTTGGACTGTGCCAACTAAATAAACCTAAATAAAACATCTTTAGGTAAACTAAATAACATATTTCAATAGCTCTGAATTTCTTAAATGAAATCCTTGAGATCCTATTTAAAATCTAAATATAATATGAACTGCTAATGTTTCTGGTAAAGAAACACACTAATGTTATGGATTCAAAAACAACCAAAATCACGATACTACCAAAGTGAATGATTTCCTGGTGATTCTGCTTCTACCTGTCAGTGCTTAGATATTATCACGCTGAAAAAATGAATACAGAATTCCAACAAACTGTCATCAAATGTCTTTCTATTATGAATTTAGATGAAATGTATATCCCCATAATGACCTAAACAATAAAGTCTATGGCTTTTACTTCTTCACCAGGCTAGTTACATGATGTTGTCTAAATTAAATTCTGTCTCATTACATTACTATGTTTTAGCTTTAACTGTATTATGTTCTTTCTACATTTCAAACCTCAGTTACTTTTATACCTGTTGAAACATTACTCACAGGTCAACTTCTTCAGTATTCCATTCTGGAATTACATCTCTCACAGTAGCCCCTTGGCCACTGATTCTGCATCTGTGTTACCTGCTATAACTCAATCAATATTAGAGACATGTCAACATCCATCAAACAGTATCTTATCCC